TCTTTTTGCCTAGTTTCATCTTCTTTTCTAATCACCTTAATCTCTAAGTTAGCCAGTCTTAAAAGCTTAATGTGTATCCATCCCAATTTTTTATTGTACAATCACATACAAACTCATATATTCATATATTTATGTTCAGCACATAGAATATAACCAAGTATTTAGAACAGTGTCTTGAACGTTATAGGTGCTCAATAAATATTTGTTGAATAAATGAATGGTTTGTCTTAGAAAAATGAGATCATATTATATATACGTGTGTGTATGTGTATATGTATGTTTATATTATGTATCTGGCTTTTATTGCTCAATATTCTATGTATTTTTAATATATATTTAATTAATTCTTATAAATGGTTGTATAATAGCCCATGGTTATGAAAGTAACATCTATTTAACTAGATCCCTAATTGATAGTTCAAATGCTTTTACTTTTTGCCAGTATAAACAATAATAGCTAACACCTATTGAGTGTTTACCATGTGCTAATTTTTTTTTTTTTTTTTTTTTTTTTTTTTTTTTTGAGACGGAGTGTTGCTCTGTCACCCAGGCTGGAGTGCAGTGGCGCGATCTCGGCTCACTGCAAGCTCCGCCTCCCGGGTTCCCGCCATTCTCCTGCCTCAGCCTCCGGAGTAGCTGCGACTACAGGCGCCGTCACCTCGCCTGGCTAGTTTTTTTTTTTTTTTTTTTAGTAGAGACGGGTTTCACCGTGTTAGCCAGGATGATCTCGATCTCCTGACCTCGTGATCTGCCCGCCTCGGCCTCCCAAAGTGCTGGGATTACAGGCTTGAGCCACCGCGCCCGGCCTTTTTTTTTTTTTTTTTTTTTTTTTTTTTTTTTTTTTTTGCACTTTACATGTATTAAGCTCTTGAGGGTTTAGGTTATTCTCCCCATTTTGAAAAACTGAGCAGGAGTATGTAAGAAACTTGCCGGAGGCTATATAGCCAATACGTGGCAAACTAGTCAGTATGGCTCCAAAGTATATTTCACTAAACTACTTTTATAGAAGGTAATAAGCAACACTATTGTACAAACATTCTAATGAATGGTCTTTTATTTCTATTCAATAGTTTATCTGGTGTGGAATTACTGCAGAACCATATGTGTATATTTTATATTGCTAAATTGCTCTGCAAAAAGGCAGTAACAGTTTATATTTGCACTAGCCGTGTATGAGAGTATTATTTCCTCTAGCAGTATTATTTTTAAAAATGTATGTTTATTATTTCTTTTCTTTTTTTTCAATCTGGTGGGTGAGAAGTGATATTTCATTGTTAAGTCTGTATACTTGTTGACAGTAGTGAGGTTGAACATCATATGTTTGTCAATCATTTGGATATGCTCTACTATAAACTGTTGTATTAATTAGGGCTCTCCAGAGAAACAAAATGTATTAGGGCTCCCCAGAGAAACAAAACCTGTGTGTGTATGTAATTTATTTTTATTTATTTAAAAAAATTGGCTCACATGTTTATGTTTATGGAGACTGGCAAGTCCAAAATCTGCAGGGTAGGCTGTCAGGTTGGAGACTCAAAGACGAGACAATACTACAATCCAAGACCAAGGGACTTCTGCTGCAGAATTCTTCTTTCTCAGGAGAGGTCAATGTGTTTTCTCTATTCAGGTCTTCAACTGATTGGATGAGGACCACCCACAGTATAGAGGACAATCTGCCTTACTCAAAGTTCACTGATTTAAATGTTAATCTCATCTAAAAGTACTCTCACAGAAACATCCATAATATTGTAGGACCAAATATTGGGACAACATTACCCAGTCAAGTTTACACTTACAATTAACCATCATAAATATCTACTAATATATTTTCCGTTTTTCTTTTTTTCCCCTTTTTTTTGAGATGGAGTCTTGCTCTGTCACCCAGGCTGGAATGTAGTGGCATGATCTCGGCTCACTGCAACCTCTACCTCTTGGATTCAAGCGATTCTCCTGCCTCAGCCTCCTTAGTAGCTGGGACTACAGTTATGTGCCACCATGCCCGGCTAATTTTTTGTATTTTTAGTGGAGATGGGTTTCACCATGTTAGCCAGAATGGCCTCAATCTCCTGACCTCGTGATCCGCCTGCCTTGGTCTCCCAAAGTGCTGGGATTACAGGCATGAGCCACTGCTCTCGGCCTTTCCTTATTTTTCAATGGAATTGCTTACATCTTTTTATCACCTTGAATATTATTGTAATCAACCATTAAATGTTTTGTGAATATTTTGCCCCCTCTCTCTTATATCCTTTATTTTTCGTATCCTATTTCTCATCATTTTAAATTTTAAATTATTATTTTGAATACTTTATAATCAGTGAATCACTGAAAATGAGATGAAAATTTGGACACTATCATTTTGATAATCACTTTTGAGTTTATAGTCTTTTAAGGTGATTTTAGGAGATTTTTCAATATTTAGTTTCAATATGTATTCAATAAATATTTACAGTATTTAGTTATTATTCAATATTTATTTAAAATTAAATTGTTCTTTCAATTCTAATGAATTTTTGGAAGATGTTGAAGTTAGATCTGCTCTTTTCCAAAGTAAGGAATCTAGAGCAAATAGTTCCTACATGTGGAAACTATTGTTTAGAGGTTTTAAAAGTTTAAACCATTCATATGTAATATTGTGGTTATAATGTTTAATTCTTAGAAGAACTAGTCGAATTAATTTCCGAATTTATTTATTCCATACCATGTTTATTTTAAAATTTTTCTTCAAAACTGCTTAACACATAGTCTAACCAAATTGTTGAAACATTGTCCTCATTCAATTTGACTGTCAATTTTAATTTTTAGTAGTATACATATGTGCCATTCCTGCTTGTCAAGCCAAAATATGAAAATTCAGTTAATGAGTAACAGTATTGAAGCATCAGAGTCTGTTTTAAAACTGAAAAAAAATGTATGTGTACTAAGGAAAAGCTTCAGCCTCTCAGTCTTACGCAATTATTTTTCTATTCATTTAATTTTTATACATTACTTCTTATAACTACTAGCATCAAATTAATATCTTGCTATATTTTTATCTCATATTATCACAGAGGAAAAAGCACTGTATAATTATATATACTCTTCAGTATATGATTATTAGTAATTATAATATTTTTAAATTAGTGATTTTTGTTGCAGGATTTATTTTTTAGTAAAAGTTTTTATATCCTATATGTAAGATAACTCCCTGTTCCTGTGATATAACTTGTATTAGATTATTGGCTTCTGGAAGGCAAATAACAGACTTTTAAAAAAAATTCACTTAACTTCCAATCATATATTGTTTTTATATTGTATATTCAGTTGGTTGACAACGTGAGGGCTTTTGAATTAGGCAAGGGAAAGAATCATTTAATATTGAAATAACTTATTGCAGGAGCCTGATGAATCTTTTCCTTTGGAAAGCAGACAGGACAGTTTTAGTGTGGTGTCATCTATAATAGGAGGTCTAGAAGACCTTAGAGAATCTTAGAACTCAATTATTATCTATGTTTTTACACCCCTTTCAGTAATGATTTGGAAAAAAAATGTAAAAATTTCAAAAAGGGAAAGATGAACCCTGAGCTCTGCATAGTATGGTAATTAAAAGGTTGGGTTTTACAAACAGACTCAATATTGACAAGAAAAGGATGGGTGGGTTTTCATTTTCCCATCTCCATCATATTCTCAATATTTCTCAAATAAGAGCAATACTAAGATTAAAAATATATATGTAAATGGGAATAAAAGCCTATGTAGAAAATTTTGCTAGAAAATAAAGGGCTTTTAACACAAATATTACTTCTAGACTATTCCCTCCCCTTCACCCCTATCAGCCCTCTTTCTAACACTTTTGAAGCTCCTAATGAATAGTAGCCCCCTGAAGCTGCTAGGTCAAACTGCCTGGACTTGAAGACGGGCCTTTCACTTATTAGTGATTGAGTTACTTAAAATAAGGATGATAAAAACCTGCTTCATGAGGTGTACTCTTCACTTTATAACTTTAACCTGTTGCTATTTGTTCTATTTTAGGGATTTATCATTATTTTTTTGAGGAAATTAAAAGAACAGAGATAAAATCCCTGTCATTTATAAAACGCACAGGATAAAAGCAAAAAACCTTTGCTCTGTCGTTTGGGTTCTTCTGTCCATATGTAACAATCTGTTTCATACATGGATCTCATATATGAAAACCTAAATTTTTGTATAAGATACACGAGAGTGGATTTATCAGACAAACGTGTATTTCACTAATGCAAGGAATTTAACCTATCAAAGACTTTCCCTATTTGCTGCAGAAAATTTTAGAAATGCAAGCAATAAAATCAATAATTTTAAAAAATCTTGTCTTTGGCATGTCAAAGAACTTTTATACTTCTAAAAGTGTAGTTATTTGTAGTCAGTGATGAACCTCTCTACACACCTTAGCCCTATGCAATGTTGGGGGTAGAAAACGAGTAGAGATTTTGAGAAATCTTAGGCTAGTTGAAATACTTCTGAAACGTCAGAATGTTGAATTACCATCCCTCTGACTTAGAAAGAGAAATACCAACACTCGGGAAGATTACCATCAGAAACAACTTTGGAAAGTTTAATTTGGTCATTGTTTTTAAAATTAGAAATAATGTAAATAAAGTACTGCAACAAAGCATTCTCACAATAAATAGTAGCTATTCCTGTCACTTCTTACAGCGGAGGCCCAATATACATTGTATTCTCATATTTGTGCTTCCTCCCAACATCTAGCGCATATTTGGCCAACATATAAATTTTTATCGAAAGAATGAATGACATCAATGACAGGCTGGTCGCACTCCGGTGGTCCAGGTTAGCCCGTGAGGCCACGAGGAAACTGCGGATAACACAGTGTCCAATTTGCCTATACCGCCTGCTAAACTACAAGTCCCAGTACGCAAACGCCATGGTTGCAGTGCATACTGGGAGAAAGTCTCCAGCTCTTCATTGGCCACGTAGGAGAACCTCCGGTGTGTGTAAAAGCGCGGGCTTTAACGCACGTACGCACGGAAAACTGCGCAGATCTCCTCGTCTGAGTTCCGCGGAACTCATTTTGAGTGTAGGCATTTTAGCCGGTAGGATTTAAGAACAGTTTCATTTCCGGCGTCACCGGAAGCAGCTTGAAAATGGCGTCTCCCTCTTTAGAGCGGCGAGAAAAAGGGGCTGGAAAAAGTGAATTTCGTAACCAGAAGACAAAGCCGGAGAACCAAGGTGATGTTATGTGGGAACCGAAGGCTGGAGTTTGTGGACGTTGAGTTGCGATGTTTTTTTTTCTCATTGCTTGTGGACTTATAAAACCACCTGGAGCCTGTACTGTGTATTTAAGTACCACAATAATCGCTGATAAGATTGTTGGCTGGGCCCACAGGAACGACTGGCCGATATGGTGCCACCCACGTGTTCCTAATTCATTCCTTTTGCTAAAGGGTCCCCAAAGCGAAGCCGTTGCTGAATACGTCTTCTGTAAAAGATTATTAAGAAAATGCCGAGGGCGCCGCGGAACCCTGTAGCCTGCAGGGGACTGAAAGTCATTGACGGAATGAGGAATAGGGTGAGGTGGGAGCAGGTAGTTCTGATATACAGGAGTCGACCCTGATAATGGGGTGAGATATGGGGAAAGGAGCTATCTGACATGTCCTTAGCTCTAGTTTGTCAGTAAAGACAGTTTGAAAGATTTATCAATTCCTGTTTGTCAGATTGCTAAAATACTAGACGACACAGCCCTTACTCTTTAGGTTGTGCTACCTTTTAATTGTTAACTCCTGCGTTGTGGTCTGGTTTTACCCGTTTTCTTCAGTATGAATGACAGAGAAGTCAGAAATAGCCTGGGGATCTGTTCAACCAGGCTCATAGAAGTGTTAAAAACATTGAACTCTCAATTTAGATGCATTGGGAAAGTTTTCAAGGTTTCTTCGTTGTTGCTCATTAAATGATTATGTAACGTACATAGCAGAGGATACAACTTATATATAGTTTAATAAAACCATGCAAGAAACTAGCATTCAGACTGTTAAGTAAAATAGAGCATTACCATACCCCTCAAACCCTTACGTGCACTTCTCAGATCATATTCTCTTTTCCTGTCACAAGTAACCACTCTGAATTGCGTTGCATTCTGTTCCTCTTCTTGTAGTCACGAAGTGGCTTAATTTTGCCTCTTTTTAAATTTTATATACATGAAAGTGGACCGTATGCATTTTTCTGTGTCTTAGATTTAGCTTTGTTTTTCAAACAGGGTGATACTTGTAGGTGTAGTTTTAGTCTTTTCACTGTTATGTGGTGTTTCCTTGTATGACTATACCCCAATTTTTTTTTTCATTTTACAATCGGTGGACATTTGGATTGTTCCTATTGCTTGCAATTATAAACAGTACTGCTAAAACATCTTTGTACATGTCTTCTGGTTAACATGTTCAAGGGTTTCTTTAGGTTGTGAACATAGGATTGGAATTACTGAAGTGTAGGGTGTGTGTAAGTAATGCTAACTTTTTTCCAAAGTGCTAGTGTCAGTTTTGTTCCCACTAGCAGTGGACGAAAGTTCTCATTGCCTTACATTCATATGAATACATGATGTTACCTGAATTTTGAATTTCTGTCATTTTGGTAGGTATGAAATGGGATCTGGTTGCAGTTTTAATTTGCATTTTCTGATCACCTATGAGGTTGCGTATCTTTTCACATGTTTTGGGCCTTCCTTAATTGTGAAACTCCTGTGTATTTCTTTTGTCAATTTTTTGTCTGAGATTGTAGTGGGAACTTTGAAAAAATTGATCCGTAGCCTTTGAAGTGTTTAAATTGGATAGGGACTTGGTCAGGGAAGCATTGCAAGTAACCAGTTGCAGTGACTCACGCCTGTAATCCCAGCACTTTGGCAAGCTGAGGAGGGGGGATTGCTTGAGCCCAGGAGATATGCCTGGGCAACATGGCAAAACCCTTTCCCTACCAAAAAAAAAAAAAAACAAAAAAAACAAAAATTAGCCAGACATTATGGCACATGCCTGTAGTACCAGCTGCTTGCGAGGCTGAGGCAAGAGAATAGATCGCTTGAGTCCAGGAGGTCCAGGCTGCAGTGACCTGGGATGGAGCCACTGCACTCCAGCCTGGGTGACAGAGCGAGGCCCTGTCTTAAAAAAAAAAAAATGTATATAATACATAAGTAATCACTTTTGTGGAATTTGTGTTCTTTAAAGGACATTGGAGAATCCTTAGACTAGCCAATTGTCTGTGATTTGAACCAGAAATAGAAATAGAAAAGTGGATGTGAGTATAAGCAGAAAGTTTACCTGAGGTTGATAACATAGGGTAATGCCCTGCTTTTCAAATTTTACTGTGCTTAAGAGTCTCCTGTTGAGCATGGTAAAACACAGACTTCTGTCCCTTGTCGAAGAGATTCTGATTCAGTAGGTCTGGAGTGGGGCCCAATAATTGCATTTCTGACAGACTTAACAGTTTATACTGATACTGAAAGTCTATGGAGCATACCTTTTAGTATAACTGAATTAGAGTATAGCTGTTGAATTTAAGGAGTTCTTAAAATTCAGTACCACGTTTTTTAAATACATGATTCAGAAGATAATTTATGGCCCTTAGGCATTTTCTTGTAGTGAAAGGAGTCCCAGGCTGAGTCAGCTTTGTGTTCCCTTAGGCAAGTCACTTAGCCTTTTTAGACTATCTTCTATAAAATGAGAATAATACAGATTCTACCTTTTATAGTTATGAAACGCATGTGGAAATAAGGCACTCAAAACGCTTAGGAAAATCTAGAATTACTCGAGATTATTAACTGAAAGATAAACTAGAATCCTCTTTCAGAAGTTGTATACAAACACATACACCCAGGTTCCATACACTCCAGGAAAGTCAGAAAGGTTAATTGTATTTAAAATACTAAACAAAATGGCATTGAGATCTTCAGTTTTATGGTAGTGTAATGCAGTACACGTTTCTGGAGTGCTCACTGTCTGTCTGGCATATGCCAATTGGCATGAAGAGGGATTCTGCTCTTAAGGAACTTTGTCTTATGAGGCAACTGAAGTGTGTACAGATAATTTTAATACAGTGAATTGATAATGACAGAGGAATGTTCTTCGACTCTTGAATAATATAAAAAGCGGGGAAAAGGAAATGCAAGAAGTACTGGAAGGCTTATGAATATGTGCATAGGATGTTCATAAAGTGTCCAAAAGACAGTTAAAATGTGATGTGTCAATTTTTTCCTTTCTGTAGATGAATCAGAACTCCTTACTGTTCCCGATGGCTGGAAGGAACCAGCTTTTTCCAAAGAGGACAATCCCAGAGGACTTTTGGAGGAGAGCAGTTTCTCAACTTTGTTCCCAAAATACAGAGAAGCTTACTTGAAAGAGTGTTGGCCATTGGTGCAGAAAGCCTTGAATGAACATGTATGTGTATCTTATAATAATACATTTATTTGAGACTTTGCTCTTGCTTATGCCTTTAAGTGTATGTATGCTGATGCATTTTTTTTTTAATGGTGCTAACATAGCAATGGTGCTGGTTACTTTGGTTCCTTTGGTATTTTAAACTATTTAGGTACATTTTCTTCTTACCTAATGTTCATTTGTTTTAAATTTTATGAGTAATAAATTACTTTGAAAAATTTGCATACCTTTAATATTTTAGGAGCTTCACAACTGTCTGAAATTCACCTGTGAAGTCTCAATTTCAGAATGCCTGCTCCAGGCCATGAGAGTTGTCATGTGTCTGTCCCAGTCTGAGCTGAGTCATGTTTCTAAATGGATTACTTTTCATCTTAAATGGAAGATGTGGATGTATCCAACTTTTCCTTGTTTATGCTGATGCTATGCCCCTAGATAACTGCATTTTTTTTTTTCCCCAAACTGGGTATTGAAACCCATTAGTGTATTGAGAAGTCAATTTAATGGCTATAAGGAGCCTTTAGAAAATGGCATATCACATGGTAAAAGTATGTTTTTTTCATATTGGCTTAGTTGTGTGTGTGTGTGTGTGTGTGTGTGTGTGTGTGTGTGTGTACATTTATTAGGTTGTGATATAAAATGTGTTTCTCACTGTGGGACTGCTCTGGAGTTGGTTGTGCCATTGTGGGTGAAGGTGGCTCAGCAAGCTGCAGGTTGTGTTTTATAGCTGCGTCTGGGATTGAGCTCTTTTTTTTTTTTGTAAACTCATAGCGACCCAACCATATATTGAATTGTTCAACACTTAACTATGTTGAAATATTCTTGAGATTATGCTCACAAGTGAGAAAATAGCATTTTAATTTGCTTTGTTGAAATCTGTTTTTTCCTGTTGAAAGTTAATGCTTAAGTTTTCTAATCGTTGCTTTTTTCTGAAACTATGTTAATTTGCTTTTACTTAGTATTTAGTCCCCTAATTAGCTAGGAAAAAAGTTTGAAAGGGAAAGTCAATTCTTACCCAATGGAGCAGATGGTAGACTGGAGCTGGGTCCAGAATAGGGAAGCTGTACAGCTTTACATTTTTATCTTAGTCAGATTTTAAGTATGACCCCATTTGTTTCATTTATAATTTTAAAATTAGAGGCAATCTATATTCCAGTGGGTACAAAGTATTCTAAAACCAAGTGTAAATGGTTTCAATTGCTCCAGTTTCTTATAGTCTGTAAAGTGTGAAAGTAATTGAGTATTCATTATTTATACTTAACTACCTAGCTTCTTCAGGGAAGTAATTGATAGGAATTGAGAGGTGACAGAAATTAATAGGTTGGTTAGGATAGGCTTTATATTTATCTAAAAATAAACTCATTTTTAGACAACTGCTTGTTTGCTCTTTCCTTTTGTAGCATGTTAATGCAACCCTGGACCTGATCGAAGGCAGCATGACTGTCTGTACTACAAAGAAGACTTTTGATCCATATATCATCATTAGGGCAAGAGATCTGATAAAACTGTTAGCAAGGAGTGTTTCATTTGAACAGGTAAATCTAAAATTACAGAGACTTTGCTTTGTTTGCATCAGTGTTAACCTATAACATCCCATCTTTTCCGCCTTCCACCATCAAGTTTTCGTATTTGTGCTTAGATAACAATAGCATGGGCTTGGAAAATAAATGTAATTGTAAAAAATGTTGATAATGTCTGTTTTTTTTTTTTTTTTGCAAAAGGCAGTACGAATTCTTCAGGATGATGTTGCATGTGACATCATTAAAATAGGTTCTTTAGTAAGGAATAAAGAGAGATTTGTAAAACGAAGACAACGGCTTATTGGTCCCAAAGGATCTACATTGAAGGTATTTTTTTATTAGTGGAAAACTTGAGTCTCTCCCTTAATAATTTTTCAGAGTAATGAATTTTAACCTGATCTCTTGATACAGGCATTGGAACTCTTAACTAATTGTTACATTATGGTTCAGGGAAACACAGTTTCAGCCATTGGACCTTTTAGTGGCTTAAAAGAGGTGAGAACTATGTATTATCTTCAATTCATTTTCAGCAGAGAACAAATAATTTGGTTATAATATAGTTTATTGGATAATGCTTTATAATTTATTTTTTTAGAATGTGCTTTGATTTCCCATTAGTAAATACTTTTTATGTCATATAATTCAAGGGAATCATCATTTCTGGACCCTAACATGTTTTGGCCAACCTTGGCAGCTAAGGAGACATGCATTTCTGAATTAGAAGGTCCGCACACTATTAGTCCTCCGCTATAACATTTAAATGAGCATTTAAGATCTTCAGTCTGTAGCACAGACGAAAAACGTGGAATAGTCACATATGCCCAAATGATGCGAAAATTGAGCAAAACTCCAGTTATTTGCAGTAGTGTATACAGCCAGTAGAGGTCACACTCTGAAAACTTTTCTTCAAGATATGTTTTCTTTTGTTTGAATTTTAGTATAATGTTTAATAACTTTTCATGAACATTTTCTTTAACTTTTTAAATTAAATGTGAGAAAATCTGTGGAGCAAATGCTATTTCTTTTAACTCCTTTTGGTACTGTTACTGTCTGGATCTGGCTTGTGAGGTTGTGCTTCCTTTCCAGGGCCTTTAATAGTAATCCTATTGGCCCTTTTTGTCATAAATTGTCTGCTCTTTTCTCATGGAGCAATAATTAAGTATATTGAATACTTTAGTTTTATAATGTCTTTAAAATATTTAATTCTTACAGTAGAGTCTTGAGGTATATGATTTTATCTTTATATTACAAATGAGAAAGCTGGAACAGGAAAGTGACCTTCCTGTATGCAATGGCAGTCCTTGTATTCCAGCCCTCTTCTTCCTAAATCACGTTGCTATACAGTGTTGTATTAGTTCTCTGTGCTACATTTTAGCAGTAATTGAGAAACTGTATTGTATTCAAGGGAGGTTTGACTGCCTCTATGAAAGATCTAATTATTTAATTAAATTATTTAATTTGATACCCATTACCTGATTAGATATTTTGCAGTATTTATCCTCTCCTCCATAGCTCATTAAAATCCTTGTGACTAATTCATTTTTCTTTGCAAATTTCAGGTTAGAAAAGTAGTCCTAGATACTATGAAGAATATTCATCCAATTTATAACATTAAAGTGAGTGATAATTCTATGTAACTGTACCAGTGATTATCATACTTCTTTTAGCTACAGAATCCTTTCTTGAAATTAAATGTTTTATGAAATTCTAATGCACAAACAGATAAAGCAGAGCTATTTTGGGTAAATTAGGGGTAGAATTCAGCCTACTTTACCCCAGTTTTGTAGGTACTTCTTGGAAGCTCTCTATGGAGCACAGTGTGGAAACTACTGAAGGGGGTAGTGTGTAATGTGTTATATAGTTCTAATCAATGAAAATAAGCTTCACAGAATTTGTTGTAGATCATATCAGTGCAGTTTTCTTAGATTATGCACCCATATATTTAAAGATATGATTTTTCAGAATTCTGCCTTTTTCTATTAAAATCTGGAATATCTCATGTTGCATTAAAACCTTTTTTTGAATTTAACACTCAAATTGTAGCCCCTTTGAGAGAGATCCATTATATCCCAGTGTGCACAAAGTTTGATTATTCTTGGAAATGTAACCATGGTATATAGAACTATTTTATGATGGGTTTGTTGAGCAATCCACTTAAATTTGATGAACTTAAGTTATGAAGTCGCTGTTAGATTAGGGGGAAAGTGATTTTGAGTTACATTGGGATATTGCAGATAAAAACAAAGCTATATGTCTGATCCCTGGTTTGTATCCTCTGATGTTCCAAGGTCTAAAATTTAAATGGAATAGGGAAATGTGAAAGTATTGGTTTTCTGTAATCATGAGAAAGTTTACTTTTGCCTTTTTCTATGATATTTCAGTTGCTACTGAAAACTTCCTGTTTGCAGGGAGTATCAGCTAATTAAGAACCCTCCCGGCTTTTATAAGTTGACTTTTAAATGTTTTAATGAAATAATAGTTGAAAAGTCAGTTTTATTTTCATCTCATTTTAACAATTCTGCATTTTGTAATTAAATTTCTAATGGTTTTCTAATAATTATACATGTTTGTGATAATTTACCTTTTTCCTTATGTGATTGGTTTAATTTCACCAAAGAAACTAGAAACTGTTTCTTTTATTATTTATAGAAGCAATATTTATGTCTGAGTTTGATAAATGTGTGACTTTGGAAAGTAAAAATTTTTACTTTGTTGCATGACTAAAGAGCTTAATGATTAAGAGAGAGCTGGCAAAAGATTCTGAATTACGATCACAAAGTTGGGAGAGATTTTTGCCGCAGTTCAAACATAAAAATGTGAATAAACGCAAGGAACCAAAGAAAAAAACTGTTAAGAAAGAATATACGCCATTCCCACCACCACAGCCAGAAAGTCAGGTTAGTACTAAATGTTGAACTTTATATGAAGGGGAATCTATTTTAGTATATTTGGTCGGAAACTTTATTGAAGGTTATTTCAGGTGGGATATGTATATATATATATAGCGTGTGTGTGTGCAGAACTATAAGAAACTGAGGGTAAATATAAATAGGTATATTTTGAGCTGCATGCATGGGGGTGTGCAGTGGGGCCTTCACATTGATTATAAACTGCATTCAGGCAGTTTGTGTCCCTGTAGCCACTGTAAATGTTCCATGGATAAAAGTTCAACAATTTAGTCTGCAGTACTCTTTCCTCTGCTTTGGCAACATTCTTGTTGTATGCTCTATGATTGTTCTAGTTCTGAAATCTTAAATTGTAACACCCACCGTTTTTCTAAGTTATGATTCCTTTCCATTTTGTCAACTATCTTCTGCTTCATTTCCTTTCCCACCATGACCAGTTGCCATTTTGTTCTTGCACAGCATTGTTTTGATTCATGCCCCTTTTTAGTTCTGTCACACCTTCTCAGCAAAACTCTAAAACTTGGATCAGTCTAAAAACTTGTCTTCCCTATAACGTGGCTACCAAATTAGGTTAGAGAAAGTTTTATCTTTGGATTAAATTCATTCAGAATTCATGTTTCCTCTTAATTCTCTCAGTGCCCTTCCACGTTTAGCAGATGACTTTGCATTTTATTGAAATATTTGAGACCACCAGATAAGAACCCCTTCTGTTTCCTCTTCTCTCACGTCTGTGTTTTCTTCCACCTGCATCAGCCTTTTCTATGTGTTCTTTGAATTCCATCTTCACCTATCTCCTGGGGGTTCTTGCTTCATTATTCCCTTCCTTGGCTATATCCTAAAGCCTTCCCTTTCTACTTCTGCTCAGCGTGTGAACTCACTGATTTCTATGTCTCTTTTTTCCACAACCATGTTTGGAGTCTTTCAGGAAAGATTTGATGATTGATGGGAAAAATGATGATCATAGTGAAAAAACAATGGAAGTGTTGGATCATGGAGGAAATTGATAGTAGTTGCAGGGAAAAGGGAGTGAGGCAGTCATTAAACCATGCTTCCGTAACAGCTGCCTTACTTCTTATGACCCTTTCTTGGAGTTAATTGACTTATCTTTCTTCCTTAGCTGTGTAAGCTTCTTGAAACAGTGATGTCTCGATTGTCTTGTTCTTACTTATTCATTATGTGACTGGGCAAGTTATTTATCCCATCCGTACTTAAGTTTCCCCATACCTAAAATGGGAGTAATGATAATACCTGTCTTAAAGAATCGTTAATGAGGATTAAATGAATAATTGTAAAGAGCTTAGAACAGTGCCTTAGATATAATAATGCTGTATAAGTGGCAGACAAGTCGGTTATACACATTTTACATGTTGGCTGTATATTGAATGAACAAGCTGTTGCTTTTGCTAATTAGTCACCAATTCCTGATCGTTCTGGCTTTTATTCTGCATGCCAGTACGTTTATTCCAGGCTCTCATCTATTCCTCATTCCTCTCCATTAAAATTGTGCTTTGGTCTTTTCAGTCTTCTCGGAAACCCACAGTCATTTCTAAATCTTATCCCTCCTACTTTATCTGCCATTGAAGCTTCTTCAAATTATCCCAAAACTCACTCTCCAGTTTCTTCTCACACTTTCCATACTGTATCCCTGAACTCCTCTGGGTTGTATTCCATGGAGGTGCTTTCCTACCTCCACACTTTTGTGTATGTATTCCCCTCAGCTTAGACTCTGCTTCCTTTATGTCACTACCATTTTTATTAATAAATCAGTTTGACCCCATTGTTTTTACCCTAAGGATATTGTGACTTGCTTAGGACCTGACTTCTCCTCTACATTATTTCTGATGTAATTGTAAATACTGTTTTCAACAGATTGATAAAGAATTGGCTAGTGGTGAATACTTCTTGAAGGCGAATCAGAAGAAGCGGCAGAAAATGGAAGCAATAAAGGTACTTTATGTCTAGCTCACAAGATTAATAGCAAAGTTCATAGATACTTGAATTATTTAACTATAAATACATTTAACTAATGTATTTTTTATTAATGTAGGCTAAACAAGCAGAAGCCCTCAGTAAGAAACAAGAGGAAAGAAACAAAGCATTTATTCCACCTAAAGAAAAACCAATTGTGAAACCTAAGGAAGGTAATGCTTTATGTGATGTAAAAGTCTTTATTAATTATGAAAAGTAAACCCATAGTGAATTTGTCTGAATCTCTTTAAGAAATAATCATATATTTTCATCAGTTCTCTTAGCATTTCAGTAATTACTGATCCTAAGGACTTTAGAGACAGCTAATGCCTATTTCAGTGCAAACTGGATTGACAGTCCTCTCCTGACCTCTGGTCTGTGCTCAGGAAAGACTCTTTGTTGTGAAAGATACAAACCCAGGGCAGCCAGTACGTCTTCTGTAGAAATGCAAGCAAGACGATCCCTGAGCTCTGTTGTCATGCCTCTCAAAGAGGAATTACCAGAAGTTGTACTTTTTCTTCTCTTTATGTGATTTTGGCTTAGAGTTTGGCTTCTATATTGGTAACATGGATTTCTCAACACTTTGGACTAAAGGACACTGACAGGTCTTATTCATGAGCTATTAGTGTGAAAGTGATTGTGGTTTTTAAATGGCAGAAACCACAATCACTTTCCCACTAACCTAATATTTAAAAGACACTAAGAGAAAACATTCTCATAACATTTCTAGTCTCATTCTGATGCATCCTCTCCTCTTCTGCATTTTTCCCCCCTGTGGTAGCACTTGTCCTCTTCCTAAAGTAACCCTCCAAAGTGAACAGTGACACTGAGGGGAGAGGGCCCCCCAGCAATATTGTACAGACTTGGTCAGAAACAGATATAATACATTATTTAACATATTGCTTGTTAATAGTTTTAAAAATACTATTATTCTGTGGTAGATTATTGGTTATATAAAAGGTAAAAATGTCATAAGTATTTTAATTTCCAGTTTGTACAACCTGTCAGTTGAGTGCTTTGAAGGTACTCAATAGCTAGTTAACCTAATGTAGTTTCTCCACACAGTGGAGGCTTTAACGCTCTGTGCTTCTCAGGTTGCTGGGTAGTTTGTACATTATGATGTTTTATCTTATGATTCTTTTATGCTGTGATACTGTACTTTGAATAGTAAGAAAAAGTTGCATTCTTTTTCACTGCTTCCTTTCTGTTTTGCTCCGACTTTTGGCATTGATTAGTTAGTTGGGTCCTGTTAGGGGAACTTCCAAATATGCCCAAATTGTCTTTATTACCAGAATGTTGTTAAATACAGCAAACTCTTGTTAAATAGAATACTATTAGTCATTCATTGAATTAATATTTGGAAAACTTTTAAGTTTTTGTTTTGGTATTAGAGGAAGTAGATTTTGACCTCTAGCTTATGGTTAGCTGATTAAACTTACTGAGAAGGGATACATGTAATTTTAAATTATTTTAATGTGCAAGATGGAAAATAATGAGGACTCAGAAGTTCCAAAATATGGAAAAGAATGTAGGTAAAATAATTTAGTCTGAAGTAGGATTTAAGGAAATAGTGTTAATATAGTTGAATCCAGTAATTGGTTCCATCAATCATGCCATTTTTATGTATTAAAGTATTTTATGATTTGTTTTATTTATTAGTCTGAATAAATTTCTGACTCCTTTAGGCAGGTGTTTTTATATTTTATACTGTGATTTTTCAATTATAAGAGGACTCTGAAGTTATTGCTTTAAAATATATTCTTTGTTTTACTTGGTAACATCTAAAGTGTTACATGTATTGTGCTTCTAATTTGTCTAGCTTCTACTGAAACTAAAATTGATGTGGCCAGCATCAAGGAAAAGGTTAAGAAAGCAAAGAATAAGAAACTGGGAGCTCTTACAGCTGAAGAAATTGCGCTGAAGATGGAGGCAGATGAAAAGAAAAAGAAGAAAAAAAAGTAAAATATACCCCAAACTCCTTGACTAGAACCATCTCCTTTTGTAAAGGATTTTGAGATACCAGGCATTAGTTGCCTTATTTGTGAGAAATTTTCTGAGGGTTTTGTTTTGGTGGTGGTTGTTCATAGAAGAGTGTTCTTTATAAATTATTATATTTTTGTGTGTTTTGAAAATTTTGTACTAGAAAGTGGTATATATGTCTTTGTATACATTACGACCATTGTGATTATCCATTAAATCGTGTCTGATACCATTGGTTAGTCTTCAAATATAATGATGTCCCAGCATTTGATGCTCCCTTTAATGATAACAAACAAATATTTAGGTTTATCCCTTTTGAAAATTTGGTTTTACTTTTAACAGTCCACATGAACAGAAAATTAAGGCCTCTAAAATCAGATCCCCTAGTTACTCCTCTGTTCTGAATTTGGGGAAGTGGTAAACCAGAAAGACATCAGGTTGCAAGAGAACAGGGAAAACCAGATATTTAGAGTCGAAGCTGCATGCAAAAAGTAATAATGGCTACTGGAGTTACTAAGAATCACCTTAAAAAGTGCTACTGTACCTTGCTCATTTTGCAGATTTAGAAGCTGAAACATGGGTTAAGTTACTTACTGAAAGTCCACCTGTGGCAACCTGCAAACAATGCTTATTTATAGCAAACAATGCTTATTTATAGAAAAGTAGGAAGTAAAGATGAGTTTATATGATAGAGTTAGGAAGTTTCTTCTTTTGAGTAAGATTATGGCTGCAACGTATTTTCTTTTCTGAAATGTTTTAAAATAGAAATACACCTAATTGTTATTCACTATTATTGGTTTTAAAAAAAAGCCATATTTGAATAAGGTTGATTTTTGGGTTTTTTCTTTCCTGGATTGTATTAGTCCAAAAGAACTAAATTAGGGTACTTGTGCTGTACCAAAATGGTAATTATAACAGACAGTATCATAATTACTGAATTAACAATGAGAAAGAGAGAAGTGTATCTGTTACGTGGATATATGGGCCAGCCTGGATACACAACAGAGTAGTAACCTGTGAAACAAACATAGAATATCCTCTTAGACATTGTTCATCATAATGCACTGACAGAATTCACATAGCTCTTAATGAAACAATTTAAGATTGGTGTACATACGTTTGACTTGGTCTCGCTGTTGGTTAACTGTAAAGTTAGGGAGAAGAAAGAAAAAAAATTAAAAGGGTACGTACAGGTGAGGGTTTTAAAAAGCTAAATCTTTAATTGTAACCATTAACTGGCTTTGGCTTTATTGCAGTGACTATCCAAGTTTATTCAACATTTTTTGAACTGACTGAATTAACTTGGTATTTTTAAGTTGACTTTCTATATAAACTTTATAAACCTTTTATAGAAAGGAAACTATAGCATTACTATAAATGGAAAATCACTTTACATATAACTAGCAGGTAATAAAATTTAAAAAATAAAAAACATTAGAAATAATGTGAGAAATTTATTAAACTATATTTCTAAAAATAAGTTTCTTCCTGAGAAGAGTGACACTGTTTATGATGAGTCCATAATAAAAAGACAGTGACCTCTCTTTCATCCAGTCTAATATGTCACTAACTCATCATTACGATGTTTGGCTATCAAGTCATTATACCCCTCCTTTCACTGAGCTTTATTCAAATTTTGACATTCAGAGCACTGGGAAGAAATAAATTCCACAACTGCCTTTAGCCTTCTGGATACTTTCTTTTATGAAATAGAAACCTTTTCCACAGCAGTTCTGCAGCAGTTGCTAATAGATGCTCGTGGTAGAACCCATCAATCATCTGGTCCTCTGGGCACTTGTGAGCATCCCTGGTCTTCATACCTGTGAGTGGGCTTTGTCTGTGGTGAATTACTGTAAAGATGCTACCCTCACTTTTCTTGGCAATTATGTCCATGAAATCAAGAGTGTGATGTTCTAGTTATTTTTTCTTATATATATATTTTAAATGTTCAATATTCAACTATTGAAACAAATGTACATCTGTGAACTAGCTAAAATCATCTTATGTACCACTAGTATGCCCAGCACATTTTTAAAACAGTCCTGATTTGGCCTCCAAGGGTATTTATTGAATTACCAGCAGTATCTAGGAGACCACAAAGGAATTTATGCTCCAGTGCTAGCCATAATTTTTCTGAGATGGAATCTGTTAAATAAAAGCTTTTATCCTCTAACCTTTACCTTCATCAGACCTTATAAAAGGTCAAATGGTGATCCTTAAGTTTTTTAGTCACATCTTACTTATTCAGTATTAGTGCGAAGAGTAGAATACTTTCAAGTAAGCTTCAAGTTACATGAAAACAAATTACATAAATCTAACTTTGAGAATAGGAAATTAGTGACAAGATCAATCTGTAAGAGCACTTATCTGAAATAAATGAGTAACGAGTTTCACATCTTATAAACACAAGTTAGCATGTGTTTTCTCAAGAGTCCAGGGGTTTTCATTATTGGACTACAGCTTTAATCTTCTAAATGTTATTCCCCAAGATTAAAGATCATCTCAAGTTAGATCACCAAAGATCAAAAGCTAAAACCAGAAGTGTTTTTGTCATTGTGGTGGTGGTAGTGTTACTAATTGCCTAGATTTTTAAAGGGAAACTTATTTTTTTCATTAGATTGTTTCACTGAAAAAATAGAAGCAGAAACTTGCCCAAAGTCACAGTGGTCGAACTGGAAATTGCACCGAAACTTGGCATACTGGTTCTAAAATCCAAAGTTTTAGCCCTTATGTATACTGGTTAACTTGGAAGGAAGAAATATATATATGTTTTGAAGGGCTACAGCAATGTGAAAGGAAGAATTCAGTGAATATATGTTGATACCTTGATATTAGCTGCATTGTGGCTACATGTTAACTGAGTGTTCTTCACAAGAGTGATATGAGTGAAATAAAGAAGACTGGGAGAAAAATGGCTCAGAAAACTTTGCAAAAGTACTATTGTGTGTAAAGATAAGTATTCAACATTAAATGGGAAGGAGGAGAACAAGCAGTTTAATAGGTAAAATTTTATAATTTTAGGCCTGGAAGGGACCTTAGAAAACATGTGAGCAATGGAACACTTTTTTCCAAACTAAATGTCATGCAGTGAAACTTGGCCCACTCTGTCCTTCCTCTATTCTAAGCACCCTACTCTAGCCCAGCTGCTCTGAGTTCAGTTTGTTACAAATATGGACACAAAAGTACCACAGGATTTGCACAGCTTAATAGAAGTTTCCCCTTCACACCATGGTAAAAATAAAAACATACTGGGATGGAAGGGCTTGTATCTAGAACAAGAACCAGAAATAAATTCTTGGCCAATTACTAATATTTCAAAATCACAAAGCAAAATTTTGCTTGGATGTTTAGTAAAACATCCTTGAAAATTTACCTGCATGCAGGTTCTACACTTCTTCATTAAATGCTGTCTGGCTAATAAAAAGTGCCATGTTGCAGCTTTATTTTCATTTTTTGGAGATAGACCCTCACTGTGTCACCCAGGCTGGAGTGCAGTGGCACGATCTCTGCTCGCTGCAACCTCCACCTCCCGGGCTCAAGTGATTCTCCTGCCTCAGCCTCCTGAGTAGCTGGGATTACAGGGGCCCACCACCACACCCAGCTAGTTTTTGTATTTTTAGTAGAGGGGGTTTTACCATGTCGGCCAGGCTGGGCATGGTGGCGTGGTAATCCCCACTACTTGGGAGGCTGAGGCAGGAGGATCGCCTGAACCCGTGAGATGGAGGTTGCAGTGAGCTGAGATTGCACCATTGCACTCCAGCCTGGGTGATAGAGCAAGACTCCGTCTCAAAAAAAAAAAAAAAAGAAAATTCTATTTGGATGACCAACAGGATACTTATTTCTGATCTCGCTGAAATTAACAAATCTTAGGAATCTTGGTCTACAGTTTCTGACAGTTTTTTTTTTTTTTTTTGACCAATGAGAACTAAATAAAAAGAATGTGATTTTCACATTTAAATTTATCTTAAACGTATTCCTAGAACAGTAAGCCATTGGTTTAATTGCTACTTGATGCCAGTTCCCTTGAAGATAACCGTTAGGATAAAACATGGTTTCACTGTTAATTCTGTAGAAAGTTACATGTTACTGTTACATTATTCTATTGGTAGACTGTTCCTTTTGCTCACCACAGAGATTGTCCAAACACTTGTCATTATTGGGGCAGGCACCGCAGGTGGCTCCTCTCTTATATGGCCAAGTTGGGTAATTGCCTCTGTAAAGTAGAAGAAGGATGTCCATTAGGAGTTTTTCAGTTTTTTTAAAATTGGAATTTACTATGAATCTTTAAATAAATCCAGAAGAATAGTAAAGTACAAAGGTTCAGAGTTGGTCATAGAAGTGAAGACAGGAAGGCAGAAATGGAAGGCTGCTAATATTTGCAGAGTTCATTCTATGTACCTATGTCTATGAACCTATTTTAATCCGTACCCCATTTAATTGTGACAGTTCTGGGAGGAAGTTATTGTTTGTTTTACAGACGAGACAAAAGATGTAAGATGCCTTTAGTCACAATTTATACATTTCAGAGTCAGAGGAAACCTAGATTTAACTCCAGGGCTGTGCTCCCTCTCTTTACCTACCCTCTGGCCTATATGATTACTGCCATTCAAAAACCTGTCCATCTTAGAAAAGCTATGGTGACCCACATTCAATCTTCTCAGTTGGTCAACCCTCCATAATTTTCACTGGATAGGAGCCATTTGGCTGGTGCCTTCCAAAAAAAATAATAAATAATGGTATGGGGGAATTTCTAAAGTGCAAATTGTTTTCACGTACAAGATGTGATATGAATAATAGCTACTAATTAGTGAGCACTCACCATGTGTTTGTCTTTGTTCTAAAACAACCTTGAATGAAATAATCTTCACAAAAACCCTATGAGGAAGTTACTGTTATCTATTTATCCCCATTATATAGCTAGAGGCTGAGTTACAGAGTGTAAATAATTGACCAAGGTCACAGACTAGAAAGGGAAATAATATCCAAGCATTTTATATCCCCATAAAATCCTCATAGTAGTAATGGTGAGAGGCTGCACATTTATCTCAATGAACCTGCCAGTGCACTAAATTTTTTTGGAACTCTGCTTTTGGAAAAAGTTCTAAACTTTTTTGTGTAATCGTACCCTTTGGCAGTCTGGTGAAGCCTATGGGCTCTTTCTCAACATAGTTTGTTGTTAAATGCATAAAATACATAGGATTATAAAGGAAACCAATTAAATTGAAGTAGTTATCACAATATTTAAAACAAGATTTGTGATAAAGTAATATGTGCTTCTCTATTAAGATCTACCAGGGGGCTATCAGTTTCAAAGTAGTGATGAACATAAACTGTATTTTGAGATCTCTGCAGCAACTGAAATATGGTATGAAAATATGATATTCACAAAGATGATACTGCTAAGTCAAATCACATTGATTGCTAATATGACGGTGGAGTGTTGTCTTCATTCATAATGAAAGGAAATGTTATTTTTAATAGAGGTTAGTGAAAATAAAAATAAAACAATTTTTTTCTAATCGAAGTTTATGACCCTCCTCTCCTCAATACTCTACAATTACATCCAAAGTTGAGAACTCTCACCTTAGACACACAACTTTATAACGACACCTCATTTCCAACCCCAAATATATGTTCTTATTTTGCTCCAAATTTTAAGTTGCTTCCGAAATTAAATTTGCCCTGTGCTTACTCTCCACCATGGAAAAAAGGTAATATAGTAGCAATTCTGATAGCAATTTCAAAAGATGTCCAGAATAGACATTAATCATTGGAATGTCTTTCATTGTTAATAAGCACAGTATTTATTAAGTGGTTTAAGCTCTAGAATGGTTTTAATAAAATCATTTATGATCCTTAGTTGTGCATTCCAAACTGTAAAGGAAAAGGTAAAAAATCCTACTTAAAAATAAGCTAAAAACCAAGACAGTTGGTGCGGTCTATGGAAATGGTAGTATCCACCTCGGGAGAAACATGTTACTAAAAAGGCCTGGATTTGTCTAGATGGGAGTCGTTAAGACTGTGGGACCTAAAGTATTCAGCACAATAAAGCAACAGGATATTTCAGTGTTTTCCCTGGCAGCCTGAGAGAGAAGAGGGTTGGGGTTCTGGGACCCAGGGGAAGACAGAAGACGGATCTTTAAAGAAAAATACAAATATGGGTAAGGGTCCCTAAGGCAGTGATGGCCTAATAAGCACACTGGTACTGTCTTCACTATCTTGTGGTCAAAGTTATGTCCTCTTCTGTGCTATAATCCTCTCCTCCACTAATCCACTCTGAGTAAAGAACCGTTATACACCATACCCTTGTTCATGGTGCCCAGGGGAAATGAAGAGGAGAGTGTTACAGGCAACTGGAAGATTAAGCATCCCAGCCCCCATTCTGACGTATCCTCAGAAATACTGAGGAGGATACTGGACTTCCTAAGATTATGTGGAATTGGGGCCTACAACTTTTTCTTTGTATATAGGAAAATAATACCTCAGAGGGCAAAGGGAAATGAGGACATTCCTAACTGGTCTCTGTTTTACCTTTTATGCTCCTCTAATCCATTTTCCATCCAGACTGATCTCCAAATTTAAAAGTCTCATCCCTCCCCTGCTTAATATACTTGAATGGCTTCTTATGTAAACTTTGCCATGATCTAAAAGTTCCCGCTAGATCTGCACTGCCTTCCTCCCCGACGTTTCATCTGTTGAGCAGACCGAGGGCACCAGTTTCTGTGATTTCAGCTTGCCAAACTTTTCTTCACGGAAGTTTTGCTGTTCTTTTCTCCACTAGACGGCTGTTCCAGAAGTTCTTATGTTTGATTCCTTCTCATTCTTCATGCCTAAGCTTAAATATATCACAGGAAGCCCTTCCCTGATTATTTTAAATAGGGGCCTTGCCTATTGAAAGTTTCTATTACAGTATTATTTATAATTGCCCCTAATTGCCCGTAAAATGATGCCGTTATTTTATTTGTATTTTTATTATCTGTTTGCCCCATAAATATTACTCTCGTAAAGGCAGAGACTGCCTTATTCTCCTTTGGAGCTCAGTAAACAAATATTTGTTGAATAAATGAATGTTTGAAGTTAGTCTTTATGGAAGCATTATAACTTTGGTTATAAGTTTTACAATTTAATATTGTTTATAACTTTGAAGATAAGTGAATGTAAACCAGGAAAATTTACATTTGTACTTTGACATAATAAAAATCATGAATACTTATAAAACATTCACCATTGCCAAGCATTATATATACCTGATATTTTACAAAGCCTTCTCTTGTCACTTTCACAGCTACTCTAAGTGGTAGGTGCTGTTATTCTGATCTACTGGAGATTAAAATGAGATTCAGAGTTAATTTGTTCAGGGTCACACAGTAAATTAACTATCTTAACCATTAAAAATGTCATATGAGGCCAGGTGTGGTGGCTCATGCATATAATCCCACCACTCTGGGAGGCTGAGGCAGGTGAATCACTTGAGCCCAGGAGTTGGAGACCAGCCTGGGCAATATGGCAAAACTCTGTCTCTACAAAAAATTAGCTGGGCATGGTGGCATGTACCTGTAGTCTTAGGTACTAGCAAGGCTGAGTTGGGAGGCTTGCTTGAGCCTGGGAGGTTAAGGCTGCAGTGAACCATTAGCGAGCCACTGTACTACAGCCTGGGTGACAGAGCGAGAGACCCTGGTCTCAAAAAAAACAAAGTCATATGAAAAGTTACCACTAATTGAATTTGTCTAACTGGCATTGTCTAGTTTTTTCTGGGTTTTCTTTATTTTCCAACTCTGAGATATTCAGTCAAAGCTGTCATCTTCTGAATGATGCTTGGTTTGTCTCCTTCGTACCCACAGCACTCAGTCAGAATATTGAGTATGTCTTCTGCACATTACTTCAGGGAAATGGCTTTCTTTCAGCCAATCTCCAGGAATCAAAAAAATTCAAAGGCAACAAATTAAAGATCATTTTATATATATTGCAAATGGTTAAAAAAACTTTAAAATATAAACAACTTTTATAAATAAGAAAAACTAGTAGAAAAATGGTCAGCCCACATGGTTCACAGTAAAAGGAATATAAATAGACAATTATGTGAAGAAATTTATAATTACTAGTAATCACAGATGCAAAAGAAAACAAATGAAATGCCATTTCCATCAAATTAGAAAATACTAAAAAATTATAATACCTAGTACTGATGATGGAATACAAATTGATAGAATGGTGGAATGTAATTTGGCAATATGTACTTAAAACAAAAATGGTCACAGTCTTTACATGCTAGTATCTTAAGGAATTATAGGGAAATAGAAGTGACTGAAGATAAATGTACAAGGTTGTTCATATATTAAAAGAAAATATAGTGAACAATCTAAATTCTTCAACAGGATAAACTGTTGTGGTACCATCAACAGCATGGACTCTGGAGCCAGACAGCCAGATCAATGTCCATCAGTGATAGTCACTAACTGTAGGACTTTGGGCAGGTTGCTCATCACGTGTGTGCCTTGCTGTTCTTATTTGCCAAATGGGTAATAATAGGACCCATCTCATAAACTTTTAGTGAAGATGAACATATGTGAAGCACTGTAACAGTGCTGAGAGCATTGTAAGCATTAAATAATCTATCATTTTTATGATTAAAATCACTTAAAATTTTGATAGGAAAATTTTCACAGCATAATTTTAAGTGAAAATAGAAAATGTATATTTTCAGTATGATCAGTTTTCTAAATATGTGTATGACACAAGCACACATATGTAAGTTTAAAGAAAGCAGGAGGAAGGTGTTTTCCCTGTTTCCCAAAGTGGGAACTAAGTATCTGTTTTAAAAACAACTGTCAAGGATTGTAAACTAGTTCAACCATTCTGGAAAACAGTATGGTGATTCCTCAAGGATCTAGAACTAGAAGTACCATATGACCCAGCCATCCCTTACTGGGTATATACCCAAAGGATTATAAATCATGCTGCTATAAAGACACATGCACACGTATGTTTATTGCGGCACTATTCACAATAGCAAAGACTTGGAATCAACCCAAATGTCCATCAGTGACAGACTGGATTAAGAAAAGGTGGCACATATACACCATGGAATACTATGCAGCCATAAAAAAAGATGAGTTTGTGTCCTTTGTAGGGACATGGATGCAGCTGGAAACCGTCATTCTCAGCAAACTATCGCAAGAACAGAAAACCAAATACCACATGTTCTCACTCATAGGTGGGAACTGAACAATGAGATCACCTGGACTCGGGAAGGGGAACATCACACATCGGGGCCTATTATGGGGAGAGGGGAGTGGGGAGGGATTGCACTGGGAGTTATACCTGATGTAAATGATGAGTTGATGGGTGCAGCACACCAACATGGCACAAGTATACATATGTAACAAACCTGCATGTTATGCACATGTACCCTAGAACTTAAAGTATAATAATAATAAAAAATTAATAAAAGTTAAAAATAAAAACAACTGTCAAAAGTAAATGAAATAGGTTGAGGAATTTAATTGTTTTGAAAATTGTATAAAATTGCCAAGTTTTTAATAAACCAATAAATATAACATCAGTTCTTCCACTTTGTGGTATTTTATTACCATATGCAATTTATGTCCCTGACAAACATTTTAGTCTTACCACTCTTAAAAATATGTGCGTATGTATTTAGATAGTATATATAAAGGATGTACACACACACACACACACACACACACACACTCTCTCTCTCTCTCTCTCTCCAGGAAAAATGTACCAGAATGTTAATGAAGTATATCTCTGGGCAGCGGAATTAAGGGTTATGTTAATTTTTTCTTTATACTTTATTATCCAGATTTTCTATAATGAAGAGGAATACTGCTAAAATAATTTTTTTCTTGTTTTTTTGGGGGGCATCTACTATAAACCGATTGATTCAGGCACTTACCCTGGTCCGTAGTTGCATATAAAATGTGCTCCATTGGAAAGAGCATCAAAGCCAGAAACTTTAGAGCAAAATTGAACTGCGCAGCCAACTTTGTAACTATCCGCCCAAACAACCTGAAAGGAAATAGGGATTTTTAACAGAGAGAAACCATAAGATAAACACTGGGTATGACTAGGTCTTCATAAACATGGTGATGGTGAGGTATATCCACTCTAGTTAGAGTGCTTAAAACCCAGAAAGGTTTAGATGCTCAGAAATCAGCTGGATAGACCAGTAGTTACTATTATTCGGGGGAGGGAGTGTATGAAATAAACGATAAGATAATTTTTGACTGTACAATGAAGGAATAAAACAGCGTAATGCAATAGAGAGCGACTGCTGGTGAGGTGGTGCTGATTTAACTTGGTTGTTCAGGGAAGACATCTCCGAAGAGGATGCATTTGAACTGAGACTTGGATGATGAGGATGCAGCACTGAGGACACACATTCGGGAAACTTAAACAATGGAGGAGGAGCATTCCAAGCAGATGGAACACCAGGGAGAAAGGCCCTGAGATGGAATTTGCTTGGCATTATAGAATGGCACGAAGAAAGCAAGTGAAGCCAAGATCTGATGAGTTGGGGAGAGTTGTAAGCAGTGAGGTCAAAGGCAGAGAAACCGATCGCAGAGATTCTTGTGAGTGCTATGTTCTTTTTCGTGTTTTAGATCACTTTGGTGGTTACGAAGTGAACAGACTGAGAAGAGCAAGGGAAACAGGAAGGAGGTAATTTTGGAAGCTGTTTCAATGGTACAAGAATGAAAAGATAGTGACTCACACATGGGTGATGCCAGTGGAGTTCCCGAGAATGAATCAGGTTCATGGCTCAGCTTAGAGGTAAAGCTAAAAGGATTTGCTTTTGTTTTGAGTGTAGGGTAAAAGGGGAAGAGAGAAAGTTTTGGTTTGAGGCCTGAGAAACATTTACTGAGATGGAGAAAACTAGGGAAGGAGGAGGGTAGGTGGGAGCATGAGCAGGGGTTTTGTTCAGAACTTGCTGATTTTGAGATGCCTAATAGACATCAAGTGAAGATTGACTTGGTGGCTGCAGTCCAGAGGACAGGGTAAGGCTAGAGATGTAAATCTGGAAAACATGGGGCAAGATTAGATCACACAGGCAAATATAATAGATCAAGTAAATGAGAGTCTGGGATAATGAAAGCAAACACAAAACCAGCCTGCAAAACAGACTGAAAAGGAGTGGTCAGTGATGTAGGAGGGAAACCAAGAACAGAGAGACCTGTGCTGTTACCTGGGATCCAGTACTCAAAAGAGCTCCATGCTTGGTTTAGGTCAGTGCTGTCACATATTTTAGCACCTTTAGTGGTGCTTTCCCCTTGCTTTCTGAACAAAAGATTCCACATTTTCATTTTGCAATGGGCTCCACAAATTAAATTATAAAGCCCATCTTGACCAAGAGTGTTTGGTGTCACAAAAGCCTAAAGAAGAAAGTATTTAAAGGTGGATACAGCCAGCAATTAAATGCACTCCTTTTTACAGCAGTACCAAATTATATTTTAAACTATTTTATACTCAAATTTTTGAGCAATTTTTTCATAAGAACTGTGCTAAATACAGCAGACACAAAAATGAATGAGCTAGAACCAGTGGATACATTCACAAAACTTAGAAAAAAAGCAGTCATGAAATTCATCAGGGGAGGGTTTGACCACTGTGAATAGGAAGTGAAAGATGCTAAGGGCATATATGGCACGGTGCCTGTCTCTGAAGAAATGAGGTGGAGCTAGAGCTGGGATGAGCTGGTCTGGAGTCCTCCAGCAGAGGGCAGCATCCTGTGTGAACCTAGGGTGGGGCTGACCCATTGACAAAACTGAAAGCAAAGCCAGCGTGGCTACAGAAAACGAAAACTTTACTTTAAAAATAAATGAAATTCGCTCCCTGTGTCAGGTGTTGGAATTAGAGCAACTCCATCTTGGTGGTGGTGGTGTTTTTTTGTTTTTTGTTTTTTGTTTTTTGAGACGGAGTTTTGCTCTTGTTGCCCACGCTGGAGTGCGATGGTGCGATCTCGGCCCACCACAACCTCCGCCTCCCAGGTCCAAGCGATTCTCCTGCCTCAGGCTCCCAAGTAGCTGGGATTACAGGCATGTGCCACCATGCCTGGCTAATTTTGCTTTTTTAGCAGAGATGGGGTTTCACCATGTTGGTCAGGCTGGTCTCAAACTCCTGACCTCAGGTGATCTGCCCGTCTCGGCCTCCCAAAATGCTGGGATTACAGGCGTGAGCCACCACGCCCGGCCCTAACAACTCTGTCTTGAATAAAGGCTGGGTAAAATGAGGCTGAGACCTACAGGGCTGCGTTCCCAGATGGTTAGGCATTCTAAGTCACAGGGGAGATAGGAAGTCAGCACAAGATACAGATCAAAGACCTTGCTGATAAAACAGGTTGCAGTAAGGAAGCCAGCTAAAACCTACCGAAACCAAGAGGGCGATGAGAGACCTCTGGTGTCCTCGCTGCTACACTCCCACCATGACAGTTTACAAATGCCTTGGCAACATCGGGAAGTTACCCTGTGGTCTAAAAAGGGAGGGCATGAATAATCTGCCCCTTGTTTAGCATAGTATCAAGAAATAACCATAAAAATGGGCAACCAGCAGCCCTCAGGGCTGCTCTGTCTATAGAGTAGCCATTCTTTTATTCCTTTACTTTTTTAATAAACTTGCCTTCACTTTACGGACTCACTCTGAATTTTCTTGCCTGAGATTCAAGAACCCTCTCTTGCGGTTTGGATCCCGACCCCTTTCCCCTAAGGCCTGGAGGGAGAGTAGGAAGTAGGGCAAGAGGGGAGCTGAGGTTGGAGTCTCAACTTCTCCAAGATTTAAAGGTGTGGTAGAGGTAGAGACATGACTAGGGACATAGTGGGCAGAGTGTGGGCTGCCTTCTTCTTGGTTTGGCAACTGGAGAGGGTACCCTCCTTTGGCAAGGTAAAGTGTACTTCCCTACTCCATGATCTAAAAGGGGTGTTCCCTAGAAACATTTCTTTATCCCCAGGAACCCCCTGCAGGAAACTCCAGCCTGAACAGGCAATGAATCAGCTTAAGGCCTCTGTCTCACTGAGAAAGCCCAGCTTTATGAGGACTGTTAATCCTCAGGTTTGATCCTTAAACTTCTACTTTCTAATCAGTTTTGTTTTATTTTTCAAATTTCTTAATTTTATTCATATATCTCAAAGTGATTTTACCTAGAGTGCTTTGTTTAACATCATCTTGGGCCCCTCTGAGACCTACTGAATGCCAGTCACTGGAGTTGCTTTTGGAGTCTGCATTTTAACAAGTTCCTGAGGTGATTCCTATGCATGCTGTGTTCAGTGTTGTCTTTATTCCTTTACTATCACCTTGGCTCATTTTATATTTTTATCCTTTGGTCTTTGAGCACTTTCTTTTGTAGCATTGTTATATCAAAAGTATTCTTAATCTTTGGATCCCTTCCCCATTTTAATACTTTTTCCTCAGAAGTGTGCGAATGTTAGTTACCATTCATTTTGTGTGTTTTAGTTGGCCTCTTTTTTTTAAGTGAGGTTTATTAGGGTATAATAAACATACAATAACATTTATGATTTTTAGGTGTACATTTCTATGAATTTTGACAAAAGAATACAGTTGTGTAGCCACTACCACATGCAAGACATAGAATATTTTTATTGCCCCAGAAAGTTCCCTTGAGCCCCTTTGTGGTCAACCCCCACTCCCAGACCCCAGCAATCATTAATCTGTTTCTGTAGTTTTGCCTTTTCCAGAATGTTATACGAATGCAATCAGTCTAAATACAGCTTTTTGAATCTGGCTTCTTTCACTTAGTATAAGCATTTGCTGTATTCATTTGTAGTCACTGCTTTTTATTGCTGAGTAATATTTATTACATGGATGTAGCACAGTCTATCTATCTATCTATCTTTCCAAGTTGGTCTCTTTTTAAAAGCTTCATGGGCACTCTGGTTTTTGGTTAAACTTGTGGGCTTTGGAGCCACAAGGCTTGAGTTCATATTCAAGCTTTGCCACTTACAGTGTGACCTTGGTCTTAGGTTCCTTATCTATTAAATGAGGATAATAACAATACCAACTCCATAGGCCTATTTTGAAGTTTTTAATGAGCTTCTGGAACATAGCAAGCACTCAGCAAATGTTTTTGTATCATTCCCTTACCACTAAGTTTCTTATGCTTAAAAATTCTTAACCCTTTTTTTTTTTTTTAATCAGGCAGGTTTCTGTTGTATGTTTTCTTACTATAGTAAGTAAAAAAAAAACCCCGTAATTATAAGAGCTACTCATTTTTGAGAACTTAGGTGTACCATTAAGCATTTTACGTGTGACATCATGTTTAATCCTTATAACAACTCAATAAATAAGTGTTATTGCTCTTACTTTTGTAGGTAAAAGATTGGAACCTAATTCTGCCTGGCCATGAAATAATGTGAGGACAGTCTATGCCCTCAGCAAGATGCTTTTAGAGTGGTTTCTCTTTTAGCAAGCTCTTCAGAACCAGGAACCACTCTTTAAACCTTTCTTACAAAAGCACTACACCTGGGGAACCCAGAGGGGAGGAAGATGTCTCCTTTATAGGCCCACAATCCCTTTCCAGCATCTTTCCTTTTCAGTTCTTGATATGAGCTCTTCTGGTTCCTTATCAGGAGTATGGTAACACTGTAACATATATGAAACCTACTACAGAAATTATGAAACATGTCACATTTCCATGGTTCTATGAGAATATAAAAATAGATATCAAGAGGGTAGGAGAAGGCAAGAAGAGAAAAACTAAAATACGATCAGTAGTGCCATCTAGTGGGAAATCCTGGCACTATCAAACCCAAGCAATCTGCTACCCTGCCCAGATACTTAAACTATTTCTAAACTTTTTAAAGTTGAACTGTCAGCAACAGAATGTCGAATTTGAATCATCTTCCATTTTATACACCAACATTTTTCCTCAATGTTAGTCTATCTCCAGTGAAGATAAAGCTGAAGTGTTGAATGAACACATCAAGAAATATCATACATTTTGTGAGGAGATAATGGGTCTGAATCTATGTTCTTTATTCTGTACAACCTCCCATCATCAGCCAAAATCTGCAAATAGCTTGATTTTTGAAGAGAAGATGAGGATAAGTAGGAGGTTGTAATATCCACTTAAAGTAACTGTCCAGCATGAATTTAACACAGCAATTGAGTAGTTTTGAGTCCCCCAGGAAGATTTCTTGCCATGATGAAAACAGATAGTCTTTCACCTAACTATCGGATCCTTCTTCCATTATAATTGCTGGAAAACCAGTTCATGTAAGGGATCTACCCTTTGTTCAATGCCTACTAAATACTAGTATTTTATTAGATAACTTGCACATATTTTATTATTTAAGCCTTCCAACTTATCTAATATCTGAACCTCAACTCTTCCTCTTACTAGCTAAATGACATCAGGGGAACAACTTATTAACCTCTCTAAGTCTGTTTATTCACCTGTGGGTAATACCATTAACATCTCCTTAATAGATTTGTGGTAATAATTGAATGAGGTCTTCAATGTAGAGAGCTAAACACTATGCCCATTTAAAAAGCGGTTGCTGCTGCTCTATCTTCCCAGTCCAGGGGGTTCTTGGACATTCTCCCCATGATAAGTGTCCCTCTTCTGAAGTGGGGGTAGAATGTAGTGGTCTCTTAAAGAGGATCACTTATGTTAGGATCACTGAGCTTGGGTTTTAATATCTGTAAGTATGGGACTGGGTTTTAGAAAATGAATCTTCTCATGACCAAAATATTAGCCCTCCTTTTTTCCCTTAGATGTAAGGGGAAATTTCACAAGTAAGCTCAGTTAATTTTGGGAGGGTCATCTGTGAAATCTCGGGCATTTATGACATAAACTCAAGTTTTCTCTTCTTTTGATTTCCTGGAATGGTGAACACGGAGTGTCTTAACTTGTGTATTGAGGTGGTTTAGGAGTCTGTTGTCAATTTTACAGTCTTTTGACCTCTATGTATTTGGCATGCTGAGCTTCTTGCCATTGATCTAAAGTACCAGGCCCATTCATACACATATGTATACTTTCCACACCTTGCTGAGAATTCTCTTCCCTTTCCTTTTCATCTGAAAAACTCCCACTCAGTTTTCAAGTACCAATTCACATGTCTCCTGCTGTGTGAAGCTTTACACTTCCTTTTGGCTGGATAAGTTGCTGTCCTCCTTGCTCACATGGCACTTTGTCAGCTTCTCTAGATTGTACTAGCCAAACACTGTCATAATCCATTTACACATCAGTCTCTCCCAAAAGGTCAATTCCTGAGGGTCAGGGACCATTTCCAGCTGTATTTGTCCTCCTTCCCTGGCTCATTCCCTATTTCTCCTGACTTCCACTTCTCCAAGATTGTACCCCAATAAAATGTTAGCTCATAAACTATTGTCTCAGGGTCTGTTTTCCAAGAATCTGGACTAAGACATATCACTAGTGCCTGTTATAGGATAGAAGCTTAAACACTGACTAATAAATAAATGAAAGTAGGCACCCTCAAACTGACAATTATTTCTGAGTATTTAAATACCGCAATGCATAACAGTACCAAGTACCACTTGTAGGCAATCTAGATTTAGCTTTCTTCTCCCTTAGGTCTTGTAATCCAAGGAAACTTATTTCCTGGTTAAATTTGTTTGTAAACGTAAACCAAAATTGGTTTATGAGAGAAATTTAGGAGAAATTCATTTTACTCTTATAATACTAAATGTTTGTAACTGCACCAAAGTTGGTTCATCTGTAACAGCACGAATGAGATCACAGGCTTTGTAGGGCTGAGCTGGAGCGAGAGAGTTTTTCTAACAGCATGTTGCTCCTTAAAACCACCTAATATTTCAATGTAACTGCCTTGATAGAAACGTTTTTGCCTTCATACCTCATTTCAACTGATTTTTTGTGCCCCAAAACAGTCAATTATAGGTTAAGTACCGTAAGTTATTGGTTTGACAAGGATGGCCAGGAAGTGACACTAAATAAACAAAATGTGGCCAGGAGAGGAAGGCAGTGTCTGAAGACGATTACGACAGATGCTCCCTAGGGAGTTGTTTCCATCACGCTGCAAATGTGAAGTAGGGTTAGGGAGCCAGAATCAGCTCGAGTAAAAATTTAAAAAAGAAAAAAACAAAAAAAAACCCTCAATGGGTGGCTCTGAATGTGGCTATTGGGACTAATAATGTGGATTCTGGGGGCAGAATACCCTCAGAATGGTTCATGTAAGTTTACACGTTGGCCTCTCTATTGGCCTGGGACTGACTTTTTCTCCCTCCTTGTGTAGCACCGTGTGTGGCACATAGTGCATGGCACACAGTAGGTTTTCAGTCGATGTTTGAGAGAATGAGAAGTTGTGGAAGCATCAGTTCTTACTGATGTTTCTGTCTGAGAGGCTTGTTTCTTCCAATTTTATAGTCCCAAAACAACTGCCTCAAATTTCACTTAAAACTTATGCCAGCTGGAACCTGAATATCCTTTCACTCATAAAGTTCTTTGATTTCTCACAAATGGAATAAAGTCCTATGGGAGAATCGCTGTTACAGGAATTGTTCAAAGCCCGTCCAGGTGGGTGGGCCTCATATATTACCTATTATGTGTTTAGTTCCCACAACTAAACTTTTCAAGCACTATTTTCTCTGTTATTGGAGTCTGTTCTATTTATTATTTTTAAAGTAAGTAACTCCCTTATATTTACAGGTATACTAGCATACTATATATTTTCTTAACCTCATAGTACAGTTTTCTCCTCACACTTGAAAAGACAGTTTCAAGAAAATATAGGGCAGATACTTACCTGAGTGTAGTGGCCACAGACTTTTTTGCATATCCGATTCTTGAAGTCATAGTCCTGGATTTCATCATACCAGTTTGTGATGGCGGAAGACACAGAAAAGAGGGACACAGACCCAGTCCAGATGTTTTCTCCCAGTGAAGTGAAGTTTGGGTGCAGCTTGTAGGGTGGCTTCAGCCGTGTATTATGTGAAAACTGGCAATTTTTGGCCCATGCTTTTGCAATTTGGGCTAGTGCTGGGTCCCAAGTCTGCAAAAATAAACATTAAACAATAGGGGGGTCAAATTTTAAATAATAGGGGGCTCATCTACAATGTAACTGGGGTAAGTACAGTGGGAATTTTAATGGAAAACAAGGTGAGATAAGGAGAGAAAATACCACTGCATATGAGTCCTCTATGAATATGGTCTTCAAGCACTGAGTAGGGTTGGTAGGAAATGTGATGATTTAGTTTCATGGAATTTAGAATCTAGGTGAGGAAAACTGACATTTCACTGAAGGCTAATTATAGGCAAAATAGTGTGTGCTGTGTTTCACAACATTATTCCATAACCGCAATAGCCCATATCCTAAGAAGTTCAGAAAGGTTAAAAACCAGCTTAAAGCCACAGATCTGAAATTCAATCCCAAGCCTTACTGAACCAAAATCCCATCCTTTTCCCAGATGCCATTCTGCCGTCCTGAGCAACTCAGTACTTTGTCAGCAACAAAAAAAGTAAATTTAGAGGCAAAAAAACAAAAACAAAGAAAATCACAAAAATTAACATGGAAGAAAATAACAAAAAGAGAAGTAAAATCCACTGAAAATCAGAAAACAGGAAATGTTCAAAAAGAGAAGTAAAATGGGCTGTGGCACTTGCTTACGACAACAGTTGAGCAGACAGAGCTAAACTGGATGTGTTTTGATCACAGATTGTGAATTTACTGCATACATTAATCACACTGAAAAAAATCATTCAGGATTACGAAGGCATTAACACCAAAGTCAATACACATTAGCTGTTTCTGACTGAACTGACGCCACAATTAATGATATTTTCCTTACCATGTATAGCATATCACCGGCTGTTGGTTTCACCTCTGATCGGAACTTGTTATGGATTCGAACGCAGTCTTTGATGAAATCTTCATTTTCAATATCTGGCAAAATATTTGCTGTGTGTGAATAACTGGAGACAAAAGAAACCATCCAGGCTATTGTAGCAAGTGTGACACGCATGCTTTGTCTGGCATGGAGCCTTGGGAGGCTGCAGTGCAGTGCCGCCGCAGTTTCTGAGAGAGTGATTGCCTCCCTGAGTGCTCAGCCCGCAGCTTTGCAAAGCTAGCCGACTTCAGCTTTGAGAAAACAGAACAGAGCATGAGTTCATCACTAGTTTTAAGAAACGGGTTTCTCCATATATGGTGTGCAGCTCACTTTGTGTTCTTAACCCTACCCTGTCTTTTCAGTGGTTTTCAGTGACACAGCACCTATTACGACATAGATTTTTATGAGGCTGTGTCAGACTTCCTTTTGAATTGGGGGATATTTCCAAAGAAAATTCTGAAGTCTCCAGGAATAATAGTCTCCAATTTTTCATGGAGGTTGTGGTGATAAAATGAAAACATATCTCTTACTTCTATAAATGCCTTGCAAAATGCTTTCAGAAATCTTTTTCTTTTTAGAGTCATATCAACACATAGTGGTTGGAATATCTGGTTAACATCATAAACGTGACCTAGAATTCATTCACGATGGTAGAAACACGTAAGCGTGTGTGTGTGTGTGTGTGTGTATGTGCGTGAGAGAGAGAGGGAGGCAGGGAGGGATTGAGAGAGAGAATACTAGAAAGAATACAGGACTCAAGTTGAGAATTTAGTTTCTGTTTCTAACTAGCTGTAAGACCTTGGACAGGATACCAAACTCTCAAAACCTCAGTCACCTACTGAATGAGGCTATGGGAACTTTTCTGCTTCCTTAATTATAGAGGTTCAGCAGGATCAAATGAACTAGCTAATATTAAATTCATGCCTTGTATATTCACCTTAGTAATACAGAAAGAAAAACACAGTCACTGGCCCTAAGGAGCTCACAGTGGTAAGAGCTGTGAGATGGTGACGACAAGGATGGTTACAACAGGGGCTGTTGGAGATCTGGATATAGGAAAGCACAAGAAGATATGGACACACAAGAGAGCATACTTAACCCATTCTGGAAAGGGCAAAGCTGGCCTCCTACATACAACAGGTGAGGCCTTTGCTGAGGCTAGAATCAGCTAGGTGTTGATCAAGTGAAAACGGGCTGGAGAGGAGAAGGGAATTAGAGGGATAGGAACTATATATCCAGTTGTGAAGTTGAAGACATGGTGTTATGGCAAGAATGGAGCAAGAACCTCTCCATGTTATCTCCCTCTGTAAATATGGTCTGTAAATAAGTACTGAGTCTGACTGGTAGGAAACTTGATACCTGGTGTCATGGAATTCAGAATCCAAATGATGCTTTCATGCCACTTGAGGGAGAGAAGTTAAGAGTCAGATCAGGAAGGATTTCTCAATTCTGCTAATGATTTTTGATTTTATCACCAAAGTAATGGGAAGTTATTGGAGGATTTTAGCTGTAGGTGGGGTTTAGACCTGGTTTTAGAAAACACCTGTATTTTAGAAAATTAAGAGATATGGAAAATGGAATGAAGGGGGAAATATTTCTAATGCAAACAAAAAGTAAAGAAACATTTCAGGCACACCTGTAGCCCCAGCTACTCAGAAAGTTGAGGTGGGAGGATAGCTTGATCCCCACAATTTGAGGCTGTGAAGAGCTGTAGTCATGTCACTGCAATCCAGCGTGGGTGACAGAGCAAGAGCCCCATCATTAAAAACAAACATACAGTCCAGGTGCGGTGGCTCACGCCTGTAATCACAGCACTTTGGGAGGCCGAGGAGGGCGGATCACCTGAGGTCAGGAGTGCAAGACCAGCCTGACCAACATGGTCTCTACTAGAAATACCAAAATTAGCTGGGCATGGTGGCGCATGCCTGTAATCCCAGCTACTTGTGAGGCTGAGGCAGGAGAATTGCTTGAACCCAGGAGGCGGAGGGTGCAGTAAGCTGAGATTGCGTCACTGCACTCTAGCCTAGGCAACAAGAGTGAAACTCCATCTCAAAAAAGCCCAACCAACCAACCAAACAAAAACTATTACAGAACCATAAGGCAGAATTACTGTTGCCACAGACACACAAATAACCTTAAAAATACTCATATATATATTCAAATTTTGTCCAGGCTGCCTGATTTCCACTACCATGTCTTTATGTTATAGCAATCTGAGATAAGCAGTGTCTTGTTCAGGTCTCATAGGCAACTTTTTGATCATTGTCATGACAATAAACAAAGAGACCTTTCTCCAGTTTGAAGTGGTAACCAGGCCCAAGGCCTGCTTCTCATCTTCTGGGTCTCTGTGAGCTAGACTGAGTGTTGAAAACAACAACAAGGAAAATGAGACCCCACGAGCAAGCAAAATCAGTGGTGTTTTGTGGTTGCTTGCATAATCCCTGTTATACACATACAACTCCCAAGAATAAGCAATGTGATCTTGGTATTGAAATGATTTAATATTTTTTTCTGGAATTTCCTGAAAACAATCAGCAAAAGGAAAAGTCTGCCATCACAGAGATGATTTTTGTGTTATGGTGCAGACCAGGTTAGCTCCTTAGAGCTACAACTCTAAGACGTTTCATTTCATACTACATGTTTGCTCCAAAAGCCCATAGAAGTGGTTTGCCACAGAACAGGAACTTTCACCTGGCAGCAAATGTAAGCCTTCACTTCTTAGAAGGCTTTGAACTTTGCTATGACTTTTTCCACTTCTTAACCCGAGTCTTCACCATGATCTCTTTGATAATTATGCATGTGTGTTAAGAGAGAGAGAGATTGGTTTTTAGTGCTCATCACTGCATGGTAGCATTTTTAAAAAATTTTTAACTTTCTTTTTAATTCTTCTCTGTATCATTTAATTTTTTTACAGTGAGAATATGCTATCTTTCATAGTAATAAAATAAACTGCAGTTGTTTTGGAGAGTCATGGGATCTTTAAAATCATGCACAAATTCATACATATACATGTCTTGATAAACCCACACATAGATGAAAGACTAAAGGAATATCCACAATTTCAGTATTGTGGGTAATACTGCATAATGGACTGTCTCTTTCTATCCCAGCAAGTTTTACTCAAGTGTCTTATAAAAAGCAACAGTTTGTGTAGCTAGAGATAATCATTTATATTATGTAGAAAAATCTCAACCTTGCTATACTGTTCTAAATATATCCATTTATACACATGATGTGCTTTTTTATTTCTTGGGGAGAAATGATACAGAATTTTCTATAATCTCACACTTTATGATTAGATTCCATAAACATTTAGGCTCCAAAACCTCTAGCCACCTGTTCTATTGGGGCTATATGTTGGGTGTGGGGATGGACCAAGATAAAGGATTCAGAAAGAGGGAAGGACTATGATATTTATTAAGCAAACATATCACTGTTATATTGTTGTGTGATGATACTTTAATTTGGTATAAACTAGTTTTAAATATGTGACAAGGTACAACTATAGTCCATATTCTAGAAGCAGTTAATTAGTGCTGAAGTACTCTCATCAGGAATCCACACTCCAAAGGTGATGCTAACACTTCAGATATGTTTATGAAAATTGATACCTGAGAGTTTGTTCATTACAACAGGGCATGTTAGAGAATCATTTTCACTGGCAAAATAAGTAATTTTCAGAGTGGCTTGTAGGGAGATTGAACACATCCTCCTGCTATTGCATGAATGAAGTATAAAGAAGCAGACGTCCTCAGATCTCTATTACTGCGGGTGTAGTGTTCAAGGGAACTGCCACCTCACAAGAGGTTCCTGTTTTCTGCCTTGACTCCAAGGCTGCTCGTCTTAACTTTAGAATGTCTGTTTAGTGAGCTCACCATTGGAGTGTCTAAGAGTAGAGAGCAGGAATGTTTTTGTAATTGTTTGCTAATGAATGTTAAGACATTTAGCAAAATTTTTCCCAGACTTACTTTCATAATAGCATACTATCAGGTATTGTGTTTGTAAGGGAGGGGAACATAGTCTTTGCATAATTCAGCTCTAACTGCAAGAGGCTTCAATATTTATCAAAAGAACCTGACATTTGAGGCCATGTTAGCTTAGGTCAGTTGGCAGCAGTGATGACAAGCACCAAGCCTTTTCAAATTCATTATCTCACTATGCTCTCTTAATAATCTTGTGACATATGTATGTGTGAGTGTATATGCATGCGTATACACATAATTATTCCTATTTACAGATGAAAATATTGAGACATAAAGGGAATAACTGGACCAGGGGAATGACACTAGTAAGATGTTAACATAAGGACTCACTGCAAATCTTGTCTGTAGTTAAGAGCACAAGTTCATTAGAGTGTCTGGGTTCAAATCAAATACCCTGTACTAGGTGTATGAATGGGCATTTTGTCTTTCTGTCCTTTAGTTTCCTTATCTGTAAAATAGGAATAATATCATCTCCTTCATTGGATTGATAAACAAATTTAAATAAGAAGTTATTTGTAAAAGCAGATTAGGCAGTAGCTGACACAGGGTAAGTACTATATATAACAGCTATTATTATTATTATTTTCTTTCCCTTTATTACTCTAGGTATGCACAGGTGCATTCCATATGGATATGGTTTGGCTGTGTCCCCACCCAAATCTCATCTTGAATTGTAGTTCCCATAATTTCCACATGTTGTGGGAGGGACCCTGTGGGAGAGAATTGAACCATGGGGGCGATTTCATACTTATTTACTACTTATTTAAACTTATTTACTACCATACTTTAGTCATGGTAGTAAATAAGTCTCATGAGATCTGATGGTTTTATTAGGGGTTTCCCTTTCGCTTGGCTCTCATTCTCTTGCCTGCCACTATGTAAGATGTGCCTTTCACTTTCTGCCATGATTGTGAGGCCTCCCCAGCCACGTGGGACTGTGAGTCCATTAAACCTTTTTTTTTTTTTTTGAGATGGAGTCTCACTGTGTCACCAGGTTCGAGTGCAGTGGCATGATCTCAGCTCACTGCAACCTCCACATCTTGGGTTCAAGTGATTCTCCTGCCGCAGCCTCCTGAGTAGCTGGGACTATAGGCACCCACCACCATGCCCAGCTAATTTTTTATTGTATTTTTAGTAGAGACGAGGTTTCACCCTGTTGGTCAGGATGGTCTCCATCTCTTGAGCACATGATCCACCTGCCTTCGAAAGTGCTGGGATTAGTAGGCGTGAGCCACCGTGCCCAGCCCTTTTCTTTACAAATTACCCTGTCTCAGGTATGTCTTTATCAG